TAAATCAACGTCTATCAAAGCCTACCGCTGAACATAGGTCCCCATAGATTGCTATAGTTGCCACGCTTGGCATGCGGGTTGGCAAACGCAATTTTTTTATTTTCTTGTTGTTATTAGGAAAACAATGCTATTCATCTCCTGGTTTCGAGCGAGAATGTAGGGTGCTGTCCATCAGGTGTAACATGGTGGCCCGTAGGTTTGCTCGATGCAGTAGGCAGGTAAAGATTACTATTTTCAAAGCCTACTGCCACTCTTTTTACACGGGCAACCTATGGGTTAACTATACGCAGCGGGTGTACGGCGCGTTGCGTGTCCAGTATAATAATGGGTTTAAGATGCTGATGGGGCTGCCGCGCTTCTGCAGCGCGTCAGTAATGTTTTCTGAAATGCGCATTGATGGTTTCCACGCCATTATTAGAAAGCGTGCTGCATCGATGCTGAAACGTTTGCGTGGCAGCTCCAATAGCATTCTCAACACAATGGCAGATAGGTGGGACTCGCCGCTGCTTGAGCGCTGGATAGGGCTACATGCCACGGTATAAGTCACCGGTACCCTCGTGGCGGCTGGTCTCAAACATCTCCATTTACATTTTTTCATCATTATTTATATAAATTAATTTAATTACTAACACTATAATTTAAGTTATATTTCATTTCACTGTTACTAACATTCTTGTTTGGGTCCTGTGTTGCCTGAAATAAAGATATTTTATTTTTATTTATTTATTTATTTATTATTTTAATTGATTTTACTGCGCACGTAAACATTCGTAAGGGTCGATCGGTAGGCAAACACGTTGTTACTCATAAATCACATTAAATTTGAGATAATTTCAAATAAATGTAGAAGCCTTATTTATAACGGATAGTAACAGTATAAATTCTATTACACTGTTACTATCCGTTATAATAGGATAGGATAGTAACAGTATAATGCTTTAATAAATTATGCCAGTAATATTTTGTTAGGAATAATATATTTTTACTTTTTTAGTTTAATATTTTTTAGCTGTGGAAAAATCGATAATGCTCATTTTTTGGAAAGAGGTTTTGTTATTGTATAAATAAATTTAGATAGTAATAATTATATATTTTATAGAAGTATTTTACGCGGATATTTGCTATTGGATTTAAAACTGTAATGTAAAGAATTTTCCGCAAGGGAACACCTGATTTCAAAAAATATTTTAAAAATTATAATAAACTAACAATCTGTTATAGTAGAGCCCATGTAAAGGGTTATAAGAGCTGGAAAGTGATCGCCGCGCCGCGCTCTCACTCCCAGTGCGTTGGTGTTAGCCACCTTTTTACTTAGGAATAATATAATTGATGTTGGTGGACTTCACATATCCTCGAAATATTATTAATTTCTAAAATATGCAGGTTCCCAATGGTTACCACGTTCTAATGCTATGAAATTTAAGGCGAACGGCCAGCTCCTGAGCTACCGCCGCTCCTTTTTCTTTAATTTTTTTTTATTTAAAGTATATTTATACGGATTTTAAATTAGTACACATGCAGATATCGCGACCAGACACGAACAAAAAAACAAATTATATTCTATTGAGTATGCGACGCCGCGCTCTTCGCAAAGGTCGAAAACCTCGCCGACAATGGCTTTGAGATGGTTCCACGATTAAATCGCTGCTTTAAATCCCATGTTAGTTAGGTGTACGTCATTAACTACATAGCTTTAGGTAGATACCTACTTTGTATCATATTTATTATAAACACTGATACTTTAAAGTATAGGTATTAGGTATTATAATATAATATAAATACTTAACTATATTTTGATGGACTTCTAAAACATATTTTTATGACAACTTCTTTTTTAACAATAACTATCAAAATACCTATTTAATGATCATATTAATTAAAATCTATCAACTATCTATAAATCTCACACGCGCTTGAAACAATTACAAATAGAATTGCCCTTGAATTGTCAAAAAAGCAAATAGCAACGACCTCGACACACTGAGGCCACAGCTTACTATTCAACAAGCAGGTTAGATTAGGGCAGTATTTTAATATGCATAGTAGGTACGCGTTTTATGAATATAATAAAGGTGGAACTAGAATCACCGGCTAGTTTTATTTGATAAGGTGACGTCATCATCATCTGGACCCCCAATTTGGATCGTAACATAGAGTTGTGAGCAGCGACCACCGACCCACAAATCTACAGACACAATAAATTCGGCAACGTACTGAACGTATGGTGCGAAACGGCGCGGGTCAATGAACTGTTGACGTATTTAAAATACGCACTAAGTGCCTTATCGCGAATGTAGTACGGCGTGCGATGAGCAGAACGAGCTTGCTGTACTACGTATGTTTGCAAAAATGGATATTTATAGAAGTAGTATGTCCGTGACGGATGATTCTTGCTATTTCTAAGGTCCCTAAGTGTCTGGGTGAATGCAAATTTCTGTGCGTGAATGTTCTGTGTGTCATTGTTGGAAATTCTGTGTTATTAAAAACATAAAAATGGGATTATTCCAATTAAAACTACTTTGTAAAAGCCATTTATTAAAAAAAAAGTATAAACCTCATAAATAAATAATAATATTGTCATAAAAACACAATTTGTCATATTTTAGAAGTAGTGATGTACTTATAGATCCCTATCTTACCGATTTATATTTTAAAATTTATTCTATTTATATATGTATAATTTTTGACTTTTACTCTTGATACAACTTTTGGTAGTGTAAATATTTAATTGTGTGTGTGTGTGTGTATGATTTTATATGATCCAAAGGAAAATATTTATTACAATTTCAATACACCACCATCAACGGAAACTTAAGGAGATTTCGATTTACTGCTTGTAGTACCTACTTAATGCTATTGATATCAAGAAAATGTGAGAAAGGAAATGTGTCTGTCTACTACATATAATATACTCGCCTTCTTTGTGCAGTAAGATTTATCGTTGGGTATAAAGCGATTTTCAACGTGATTCCAGCACTTGTAAGATTCAAATTCCCAGTGAAAGGGTCGTTTTGAAACCTTGTCCACACAAAGCGAGGCACCCGCAGTAGCCGCTCTACCTATCTACCCACATGCATCATACGACGGATACAGGCCCGCGTTTCTTACACATACATGAGAAGTACGAAGGCCAGTTTTGTGTATGTTCGCGAATACATACGGCTTCAATAATCAGCAGGTGAAGCGAACTAAAGTAAGGGGTTATTACGATTAACTCTTTTATCCCTTCGTTTCCATATCAAAGAGTAATGAACCTTGTTTTCCACTATGACATTGTGGATTGGGACTTCGGACCTATTAACCGTGTGATGATTATATTCGCATCTTCTTTTGTAAAATATATATACAAAAAAAAGTTTGTGATTAGATTTTCTTAATAATATTTGCTTGCATTATAATATTATATCACATTAAGTAGTTATTTTTTGCAAATACCGTTACAATTTTGCCAAATCATTAATAGCACAAATTCTTAGAAATCAGATCTAATAGATAACATGTATAAAAGAAAACAATTGGTCGGTTGCGATATTTTTATTGATAGATTGATTGCGATGTCGTAACATTTTTACTATGCTTATCATAATAAATGGATTTCTAAATTATAAAATTTTAATTGTTGCAACAAAGGTTCAACTGACAGTGAATCGATTACGAGTAACGAAGGTCAGAAGGTATGCAAGTGTGAGTGCGTATGCAAGTATGCAAGCGAGCTCGGTGCGGCGTCGTTGCTGCTGCACGCCTGCACCGCCGGTTGCAACACCCTCCCCTCTTCGCTCTCGGCTTCTCGCTCGTCGCCGTCTTGCCGCTAGCCTGTCTCACCTCGCGGCCGGCAGCCTTGCGCGACGCGCCGCGCTCTTTCACATTCAAAATTATTCGCAACCATTGCAAAAACTCTCTGTGCAATAAAATATCTTATCTTTTGCTGCGGTCGCATTAAGTCTTTACACACAGAGAATTCTTAGACTTTGCAAACAAATTAAGTGCCTTTGAAAGTTTGAATGCACTCCTCGTTGCATTGAGTTCCGCGCGCGTCGTTATGAGAACCCCGTACTGGCGGTCACGTTGACGTCGCGCGGTGCCGCCATATCTGTCTCGGCCACCAAGTAGCAAAATTAATAGGTAATTATTTTCGTGTACAGTGTTTAAAAGTAATTTCATTGTATTGTGATCATGTGCTACAGTGTTCCCAATCTATAGAATAAATCTGTGTTGATTCCAATTGGATTCTTTTTGGAAAATAAGGTGCGCGCCGGCCGGTTCTTATCGGGTGCAATGCAGTTGCACTCTCAACTTATTGCAGTTTCGTATTCGGCAAAGTTTTATGCGCGGAAAGTTCCTAGTGTTGGTTTTTCCATACAAATGGAATATCAGAGTGTGTTAAAGTGAATTATTTTTTAAAAGTGGCATGTGTTATAGTTTGTAAGAAACTTCATTGGGTACTCTGTGTTATTTCGGTCATTGACCGCCGGATTCGCATCCTTATTTTGTTATTGCTATCATAAATTAAAATATTAAATTCCGATTTTCGTTTTTAGGTTCAAAAATTTTTTTCCCTTCACTAAAAGAATGCAATAACCCGCGCATTCGCTTTTTGAAATTATATCTTCACCCGGATGGAATGAGGAGTGCACAGTCCTATTGTTTCATAGTTTCATATGTTTGATCATCATTTGTTTTTTTGTTTTTCGGACAATTAGAGAGTTGTCATTTTCTTCCAAAATTACAAAAATTGCAAAATAAGGTAATTATTATTTTATTTCCATATTTATGTAGTGCATAAAATTTTTGCAAGTTATCACTGCATAAAAACATTTGGCACCGCTCTTACGTGTGGCTTTCAATATTGATATGTATGACATCATCTATAGGTGAGCCATTCGAGGCTGAATTCAGATAACAATAGCTAAAGTTCAAAACTTTGTTTAGAACTTAAAAATGTGATGTTTGAGGGTTCAAATTAGTGCAGTGAGTGTATCAATCTTTCATAATTGTCCAGAATGGCGGAGGGCAATGGAGAGATCCCTGTTGAAGAGGTCCCTGGAAAGGACTCTGATGCTGGCCGTACACCAGACTACCACAAACTCATTGAATATGGCTTGGATCCTAAGGTAAGGAAAATCATACACAATTAATGTTGATGATGATTAACTGGATCCAAATTTGTTTCTCTTCAAGGAAATTTAGAAAGTATTTGTTAAAATAACTGAATTAATTCTAGAAATATTTTTTTTTGTAGATGCATTATTCCTTTGTACTTATATTTGCTAAAAAAAAAAATTAATGTTGAAATTGTTTTTTAACATATATTAGTCTGCAATATATTACATATAATTGAGAAGTCTTGAAACAATGCCACATTATTCTGTATCAGGTCATAATAGGGGCCAATTGCTGTTAACCTTAGAATTATCAGTTCTTTATAAAAGTTTTACTGTCTTGTAAGAATCTGAAAAGACATGTTCATTTATATTTTCTGGTTGGTTGAATTCCAATAAGAATCTTGTTTGAAAGAAAGAATTATAAGTTTTAATTTGATCAAACTAGTATTGGTAGGTATATCCTTTTCAATTGAATAATAAGAAAAATGTCTTTTTAATCATAAGTATAATAATATTATGCATTTTAGAAAACACTTAAAAGTATCTAATGTTTGGAATTCAATCATAACAAAAATCATTGACTAACTTCCAAGAAAATTTGTGTTACCATCAGCATACTCATATTATTAAAAAAAAATTAAATAGTGTTCTAGAAACAAACTTTTGTAATATTGTTTTAATTTTATATAAATGCTATTTTTTCGCATTTACAGTGCTATGATTATAGACTCACCTCTCACCTTTATTATCTATGCACCTTTATTGAGTTTATACTTCATCAAAGCTTGTCTCTAAAAATATCACTGTTGTCATAAACAATTTTATTTGTATAATTCATAATATTATATCAAAATTTTTATTGACATAAAATGTGCATATAATTTTTATGTTCTTATGATATATAATAAGTCTCTACTTGATTTTTTTTTAGAAATTGTGTGTTGAGTTTACTTGTTTTTCATATAATTTCTAGTTTTTTATTGTCATCTATTATAAAATTAAAGATGACAATGTGGGGCCTATGTTCAGCAGTGGACTTGTAAAGGGCTAAATGAAAAAAAATTGGAGAAATAAAAATAAGAATTCCAATTTAATAACATAATATGCTAGCCTAGCAGCTATTCTATATTCACCAAAATCATGTTATTATTCACTAGCATTTTCTTAATAGTAATTTTGAATGTAGATGATAGGACTATTTTAAAGAGATTTCTTAATGGTAATGTTTCACAAAAAATGTTACCATTGGCAAAAAATATTTAAAATCATACAATGTTGCCATATTTTAACTCAGGGGGTAAATCCATTGTAGATTTTTTTATTTTATAAGTAGCCTTAAAAATTGTAATTTTTGTGCATTAGGCATACTAAAATTGTTGAAAATTGCAGGTGGCCGCCAAGCTTGATGATATTTATAAGACTGGAAAGCTAGCGCATGCCGAGTTGGACGAACGTGCGTTAGATGCCTTAAAAGAATTTCCATCCGACGGTGCTTTAAGTGTTCTTGGACAATTTTTAGATTCAAATCTTGAACATGTATCTAATAAAAGTGCTTATTTATGTGGGGTCATGAAAACCTATAGGTGAGTGGTACAATTTAAAAAAAATTTCTACGTAGAGCAACCTAACAAAATTTGGACGGTATCCAAATGGCATGTTGTGTATTTAGGTCGACTGTGAAAAAATGACTATATACTTATTTCAAACTGTTAGCCAGTATGCACAATTAATAATTTTGTTACGAGGGACGCAATCTTGTGTTATTTTGTAGAATTATTTGAACATGTTTTACGGTATTGCACTACAAAACTTTTTCAATTTTACATTACAATTACAATTATACAAGAAAAAATGTTGAATAATTATAATGCACATTCAAATTTGTACAATTGTATTCATAAAAATATTTAAATTATGTATAATATATTCTAATTTGGCTACTACAGTCATTAGAAAAAATAATTTTAAGACAAAAATATGTTTTCAAGTTAAATCTTACATTAAACAGCATGCATAATATTTTTAATAACAAATAATAATATCATATATCTATATTATATCATTCACTAAAGTAATTAAACAAAATGTTCCACTATACTATGTGTCATCCTGTGTATGTCGTAAGACGCGACAGAGGGAACAATCAGGAAATGGGCAACAGCACCTTGATAACAGCTAAATAAAAAGCTGCTGTTGCCAACCTGCTTGGCAGCTTTGTCAAATATCCCCCCTATGAGTCAATCTTTGAGGTCTTTGTTCAACAGGGGACTTTTGATAAGTTGTAATATAATATACTTATTTGATGTTTTCTTCATCATCCTGGTTTGGCCTTACCTGTTTAGGGAGTATTTGCCATTATTGTCGTAGGCATGTCGGCGATTGCAGTGCCAGACTTTTCGTACCTTTGAATTCCCTTCGCCAGTCTTAAGTAAACGAGATGGTCATATCGCCGTCTATCGGAAGCTATATGTAGAAGTATATGGATATAATCTTAGTAGTAAGAAGGTGTCTGTTTTTTTTTTATAGGATAAGGGTGACAAATGAGCACACAGTCCACCTGATGGTAAGTGGTTGCTGTGGCCCATAGACATCTACATCTATCTTCGATTAAGAATAAAAATGCAGATGCGTTGTCACCCATGAGGACTAAGATGGAATGCCTCGTTTCCAGTAAAAAGGGTCTCCGGTTCTCTACACTCACCATACGAAACACAGCAGCGTTAAGCTACTATTTTACGCTGGTATTCGGTGAGAGCGTGGTCCTTCCCCGGTCGAGCCGACCCATTCGTGCTACAACCATAATATAGCTGCAGCATTGCTCTACCACGTAGAACGTCTGTTTTCCGTCACTTGCCATAAAATACCAACAAGCGGTTCTTTACTGGTAGAGCTGTCCCATTCGTGCTCCAGCGAATATACGATGTAGTTCACCTCTACCACATAAAATGCTTTGCGATTACGGCAAAACAGCCCATTACTGGAGAGTAGTAGGCTGAGTCTAGTATGTGTGACTATGACGACTACGTTCTTTTGTTTTGTTAAATTTGTAGCTTGCTAGATTTGTGTTCACAAAGGTTTGTATGATTTAAATTAAACCAGTCTGTGGTTGCCATTGCGCTAAGTAGGCTCGTACCGGTATGCGAAGTCTAACAAGGCCCCCTTATTAGATGGGATGACGACCAGGTAAGAGATGAGAAGTGGTGGAAAACAATGGATGCTGATAGTTTAGGGCTGTGCTTTGTAGCGTTCCTTGGGGGAGGTCTATGTTCACCAGAGGACTTGCCAAGGCCTGTAATGATGATGATGATGACAAACAAGAGATTATTCCGAGTCGTAACACCACCTATCGGAGACATTTGCCTTAGTGATGCGCGCTACAACCGCACCGCATCGGGAATTTTTTTAACTATATTGTTACCACCACCTAAATTTCTTATGAAATTATAGTTTTACTAATATAACAAAGTATATACTATATACTAATAAACAAGGGGTGCGCTGCGTTAAAGGCGTGAGACGTCTGGCACTGCAATCGTCAAGCTGCCTATCAAACGTGACGATTAATGTCCTCCAGACAGAATTTACGTAGAAGCCTCACATAGATCTCATGACTACAAGTCGCGTTTACGATCACTACACCAACGAGGCGTTATTAGCGCGACAATTAACACAACGGGTAGGCCGATGTATGTAATATTCTGGACTCTCAGGGCTGATAAAGAAGAAGGGAGAATACAGGGGAATCGGTTTTTACGTAATAAGGTCTTGAAAGCAGTAAAATATGTATATTGTCTGAAGAAAGATGTCTATTTGTCTTCCAGACAGAAAAGCAGGGCGGGCGTGCAAGGCGCGCCCGCGTTGGCGTCCGCTGTCCAGGTCAAGGGCCCCGATGAAGAGAAAATTAAACAAATCCTTGCCAGGACTGGCTACTCATTAGATGTGACCACAGGTGAGTATACCATATAATTACATTCACTCAAATGATAGCATATTTTCGACCATGACGACACACGTCTAGGATTCAGTTTCAGTTCATCACACTCTACAAATTAATGTGATTACATAAATCTGGTGCAAACTGTTGCCGGTGGAAATAACTTCGGCGACTGTGTTGTTTTATTAATAAATCAATAAAGCGGTAAACGAATTTAAAAATAATACCTATTTATTTTAATCATTGACACTACCATAAATTAAATAATTTAATGTTTAAAAGAATAATAAACAATTATGTTTTTTTATTCGGGCTTGAATACCATTATTTTTTGTGGTCTTACAGCTAGTGTGCTAGCGAGAGGTGTATAATAGAGGCGACGAAGTTTATATTTTCATTCTTAGTCTGCGCGAGTACTACAAAAACTTAAACGCTGCCTCGTTTCCGGTCTTAAATAAAAAATAGTCATTTAATTTACGCGAATACGATTCCAATAAGATTCTAATAAGAATAATTGCATCAAGATTTTCGTTACGAAATTTGTGTGAATTTTCTGTAATTTTTTGTTTTCATAATAAAGACGATATCGAAAGACAAACAAAGTTTAGAAGAAAGTTACAATACGAATTTACTATTTTAATTACTAAAGAAATATATTTTATTAATAATTGTCCCACGTAAATAAAAGGACTGTTGTCCACCTGATGTTATTTAAACGCAAAGATAAGTAGAATGAAGCCAACCTATAGAGAATAGAATACATTTCATCTGACGAACAAAAGAAATATTTTTGATTGCACTCACGCAAGCACGCACAACACACGCGCACACACGCATAAATGCACATACGCATCGTTACACACATGCACACAACCATTATTAATCAAAACCAAAACAAAACCAGCGTCCAGCAGTGAAATTTTACGTGCGTGCATCTACCAACATGCGTGCGTAAGTGCGTATCAAGAAGTTGATCGGCGTCACTTGGAATAAACACAACGCTCTTTTTTTTGGTGGCCTGAGATCTGGTTGCACTGTTTAGAGGTTTCAAAACTAATAAATCGAGAATGTGATCTTCCGTCTCATGGACCTATTGGCCTTGGAATGTCCCAAGAAAGCGCTTAATGACGCATTTCTTGAACGATTTATATCGCACGTAAAATCTAAGATCATAATTAAGTGATTTTTAAATTTTTTCCGAATTTTACATTAGGTGATAAGGGCCCTGCCTACACTTGTTAAAACATTTATATATTGTGGTTAAGTTATAAATAAAAAAGAAAAAAGGTAATTTAGGAGTTTGCCTAAACCCATTTCAGGTCAACGTAAGTATGGCGGGCCCCCGCCCGGGTGGGAAGGCGGCACACCAGGCGCCGGCTGCGAGGTGTTTTGCGGCAAGATCCCCAAGGATATGTATGAGGACGAGTTGATCCCGTTGTTTGAAAGATGCGGGACCATCTGGGATCTCCGCCTCATGATGGATCCCATGACGGGCACCAATCGCGGCTACGCTTTCGTTACCTTCACCACTCGGGAGGCCACGCAACGGGCCGTGCAAGAGGTTGGTTCTCAATTCATTTCCATCCATCCCTCATTCGATGTTGCCATTGTGATGCGATTCCTTTGCGCGTAATTGAATTACCATGTTATAATGCGACAACCAGTGTTCGAATTTCGCATCATAATTATTATATTGCGATCGACGTAAGTTGTACCTACCGGTCCGTTGTGTAATAACAAATTGTTGCCGAGTTGAATCGGGCACACGATGTTCAACGCTTCAGATATTGGTAATATGTAATTACCAAATATGATGAATGTAACAACACTGCTCGAAATAACTAGTTGCTTTTCTTAAATTATTTTTAATTTTTTTTAAAGAAAAGAATTACATTTTCTTGGATCGTTTGGCGTTTAATTACGCGGAACGGAATGATTGGGTGTTGTTCACTGTCTGGAGAGTGGTAAACGTTTTTCATCAGTCCATCAGTTCCTTCTTGTTCACTGTGGCTAATTTACCTTTGTTTTTTTTTAAATATCTGAATTTAAAAATATCTTGTTCTTAACACTGAGTTATGCTCGCACTGGAAGCACATTTGGGCAAGTCTGCAAACGAAAGAAATTACCACCCTCTTGGATACTTTGTCGATTTTGTTGCAAAAATATTATTCGAGATTAATGTCATCTACTTTCAAATGTTACTTATCTTAATTAAAGTACTAATTAAATATAGATTGAAATTAATTTATATTATAAATATTAGAATGTTATTTGTTTGCCAAATTAGTTTCTATTCAAGAAAAATCAGTTAACTTAGTTTTGTAGATGCCATAAATCTTTGCCTAAAATGGATGTTATCAAGCACATCTCTATTAAAACGCAATGTTAAAGCACAACATTCGCTATGATACATGCGATCGTCTGATCTATCTATCAACTTAATTGGTTACACCAAATTTGTATCTAAAAACATCAAAATGACTTTATTTAACTGTATAATTGGTGCATAATGAATCTGAAAACAAAATTCTAATTTGACGTCTACTTTCCAGGTGACTCGCCGAATGTTTACGTATAAATCCCTTGAACGATAACTGATTTCACTACACAAATAGTTGGCTAATGGTTTGGCGACTTCGTTTTGTACATTTACCCAGTAATCGGATGAAATCATTATTTTTTTCTAACACAAATCTATAATATTTAAAATGTTTCTTTCAAAATACTGTTCAATAATGATTTCAACTACCATTGAAGTTGCCAAACACGTGCCACACTTGCAATAGTACCGCAATATAATCTGCGTCCAGTATTTTTGCAAGTTCCCAATCATTTGCCTGTTTAATATGATGTATTCACAGTCACACTTGGGAGATTTAGTCTTAAGCTTTTTTCATTTTATAAGGCATGATATTAATTACCTACCGACGGCGGCCATTTGCATCTTTTGTCAGCCATGTTGTTTTTTGTTTTTATACAAATTAAGTAGAACAATACTAGTATTATATCGCTATCTAAATACAGTTATTTAGCGATGTGTTATATTTTTAATTTTGCATGCTATAGATGTAACATGTCAACAAGTCAGTGTCTACAACATTAGCCTAGCCTGCCGTAATAAGTTCACTATGTTCTTAGAAAAAAATTTTATTTGAAATATTTTATTGCATATGGCCGCCGTACCAATGTAATCACTGAAATTGTGTAAATGTGCAAACATAACACCTATAAACTGATCTAGCCTCGCTTGTCCTGAGATATCATCCCATTCTCTACTATTGCACCTCGTTAAATTTTGAGTTGCTTTAATTTTTTTTTGTTACCATTACACTTTTACTCGCTTTTTTTATTTTCACTTCATCAAACGGTCCACTTACAGGGTTAACTTTCAATTGGCTTCAAAATGTTCTCCTGCTGAGAATTTAATATATCTCAGGCTCTCCTCTTTGCTCAATACAACACTTTTGGCTTATCATCCAAAGTACAGTTAACTCATCACAATTGGCTCTAACCGATCATCACTCACGAGGCCCGCGCGGAGATCATCACGACTCGTCGTGCTCCGACACGAACGATCGAACGACCGTCGGACCGATCCAATCCAAAATTGATTCCTTTTTTTCAAAATTTTTCCCTTGTTATTTTTCCCACAGCTCGATAATCACGAAATAAAACCTGGGAAGACTCTGAGAATTAAGATTAGCGTACCGAATCTGCGACTTTTCGTCGGCAACATTCCCAAGTCTAAAGGCAAAGAGGAGATACTGGAAGAGTTTGGTAAATTAACAGGTAAAGTGTCAATCGAATGAATTAAGGAGTTAGTTTTTTGGGTTGAGTGCGTGGGGCTTGGTGTGGACCGCTGAGGGTGCCCCGCTTGCGTCCCGCTTGTCCCCGGCGTCCCGCCGTCCCGCCTCCGCTCCCGCTTCCGCTCCCACTCCCCCACTCTCCCCTCTCCAGTCTGCGGGCCCGGGCTCGTACGCCCGGCCCCGCCCATTGGCTATTCTCCCTCGAATTGTTCTTGCAGCTGAATGATTATGAAATTCGAAAGGGGAAAAAGATTGGCGTTACGGTTTCCTTTAACAATCACCGTTTATTCGTGGGGAATATCCCTAAGAATCGAGATCGGGACGATTTGTTTGAGGAGTTTACTAGGCACGCACGTAAGTCCTTGTCGAATTCATAATATGTGCTATTCAGTTCGTACGCGGACGAGGTGGGGGGTCGCGTGGGGGGTGCAGGCGAGGCGCGCTACGTCTTCCACGTGGCCCTCGTGGCCCGCGCGCCCCCCGCCAGCTATGTGCACGGCCACACGGCCCCCCGCCTGTACCTCGCTTACTCAAGTAGATTTGCAAAAAACGAGTGTTAACCGATTGGCCTCCGCCTCGAGAATGCTCACTGGTAATGACTGGAGAATCTTGCTGTTGTTCTCTAGACTTAGACTTCTTCAGTATTTGTTCTAAAATATCGTTTGATTTGCTTCATATTTTCGTAGCGTTGATGGAATGAACTTGAGCGAGGGGAGGGGAGCTTTATGTTATTATTATAATATCAGAGCTCGCTTGCCCGTTTACTGCGTTATATAAGCTTTCTATGATTGCAGCCGGACTCGTAGACGTAATAATATATAGTTCGCCCGATGACAAGAAGAAAAATAGAGGATTTTGTTTTTTGGAATACGAGTCACACAAAGCGGCGTCGTTAGCTAAGCGTAGACTGGGGACTGGTAGGATAAAGGTATGTATTATTATATAGTTTTATGTTTTTTAGATCATCGAGATATTAATTTTTACTGGTGATAAACTTCAGCTGGCTAATCAACATCAACCATACCGTCACACAGTCAATCAAACGACTTTTATCGTATTCGAGTGAGATGATTGAAGCTGTATACTGTAGGATTGTTTGGACTCTAAACACTTACGTTTGCGCTTAAACTAACGTGTTTTACAATCTTGGACCTCACGCCACCTTACATCAGGTGGGACTGCGGTCAAACTTTAGCTTGCTTACTCAAAGAAATGTTTTTTTTTGTTATTGGTACTTCGGCCTCTTTGACACTTTCACTGTCCGGTTTTCAGACACAAAGTTTTAAAATAATAGCAATGACCAATGTGAAGTGCACGGGACAGCGAAAGGGTTAACATTAATTCTGCTGAACGTTTTTTCTATATATTTTTTTTTATCATGTACTTTGTTTCTTCTTTTTGCTGACAAAGTGAAGAGACTAATTCCAAAAAGCAATTTATGTTGTACTTGTTGAAATTATACAGTCGTATATTTTATCTAGATTTTTATGCACGTGAAAATATTTTATCATTTTAGTTTTTCTATTTAAATCTTAAATTTTTCTTACTTTTGTGATTAAGCTTAAATGACCGTTAGATGACAATATATCTATTATTTAGGTTTAATTTAGCCTCTAGTTTCATATCAATTAACTGTACTGTTTGTGCGGAATATATTAGGCGTAAACGTTCGCACAATCAGAGGCGCTTATTTGTACTTAATTTCCATTATTGTAGACACTTATCGATGCCGTTACGGAATTTTTTTGCTATTAGTTTTAAGGACATAGATTATTATAGATGTATGAGTGTCTTCTTATCTGTCCCCTAAGCATGATTTGTCTTTCGGTTCTAATTTGTATCGCCATCAAATTACATTTTATGACAAACATAGTTATGTCCGTCAAGGGCGCTGTTCATATTTTCATACAATTTTAGTCGATAGCGATACGGGAACGTTCGTGTCAAAAACTTGTGCTAAGGGGGATACCTACAGATATGATTTTGTATCCAAGTCTTAATTGTAGAGAACATTGACACCTATCATGTTTGCTAGGTTTGGGGCTGTGATATTATAGTCGATTGGGCAGACCCTCAAGAAGAGCCCGATGAGCAGACAATGAGCAAAGTAAGTTTACTTATCTATTTATAGTTAATAGTTTATGAAAACAACATTATACTATGCACGACGTTTTATTTTCCCTCCTCTTAATTTAAAATAGGGTCATCTAAAAGTTAAATAAATCAACAAGATTTCACTTTAAAAACAAAAGTGCAAAATGTTGAAATCATTGAAATTTTCACTGTCTTATAAAGGACATTTGGTCTGAAGAATGCCCTATTTTTTTTTTTATAAAACTGCGCTAGCATCTGGGTTGCTAGTGGACATATAATAAATAGCATTGATTATTTTTTATCTTCATCATCATCATTATCATCATTACAGCCCATCACAAGTTCACTGCTGAACAAACGCTTCCCCCAAGAAATGCCACAAATCACGGTCCGAAGTCACATGCATCCATCGACGTTAAGACATCTACGATCTTCCTAAAAGTCTTATCAGGTCGTCACTTCAACTAGTAGGGAGCCGCCCTGCACTTCGCCTCAGTTTTCTGATCCATTGGGATATCTTTTTTTTATTAGAGGGGGCAAACGTGCAATACGGCTCACCTGATGGTAAGTGACTACCGCCGCCCATGAACAAACACCAGGGGAATTGCATATGCGTTGCCGGCCTTTTAAAAAAGAGTAGGCTCTTTTCTTGAAGGTCCCTAAGTTGTATTGGTCTGGAAAAATTGCTGGTGGTATTCGATTCCACAAGGAAGTTGTGCGAAGAAGAAAAGTTCTTCTAAAATCGCACGGTAGTGGACCGCCAATCATCCAGATGGTACGGATTGTATTTCGAGTTCTGTAGCGATGTGTGATGGTGAAATTAAGCGACTGGAATTAGTCCGAACAATTCCTTTGAGCACTCCCCGTGGTAGATACGAAAATAAATGTCTGTTATAAGTAGCGGCACGAAAGTCTAGCGATGACCGTTATTGCGCATAAGTCGCGCTGATTGGCTCATGCGTATCGTTCGCACGCGCTGAGTCGCATTAGTGTAATTCAATTCGTGCGCGTCCCCTCCACGTTTCGTTCAGCGCTAGACGTACGTGCCGCTACTTGTACTCGGGTTATTCCGCGGATATTCTCATTATATATACGACGGCTCCGTGGCGCAGTGGCTTAGCAATGAGTTACTGCGCTGGGGGCCGCGGGTTCGAATCCCGCACGGAACACAAGTATTTGGATGGCCTACAAATAATTGTTCCTGGTCTGGATGTTTGTCCTTGTGCAATTTGTGTTCGTAAACTGCCTCCACGATACAGAAGTAAATCCTAGTGTGGGGGTAACGTTTTTTTTTTTTTTAAAAATGAAGTCTATCATGCAGAGTAGTAAATCCGCATATACAACTCCGCTATTACAACACTCCATAGCTTTCAATTTTAATAAATTGCAATTACAATTTAATACACTATGATGTTTATTATTATTACTTTATTAAATTATATCGTCTAAGAAATACTGAATCGCAAACTGGTTATTAGGTGAAGGTGTTATATGTACGGAATCTTACGCAAGAAATCACTGAAGAGGCGCTCAAGGAAGAGTTTGAACGTTATGGAACTGTGGAACGTGTTAAGAAAATCAAGGATTACGCTTTTGTGCATTTTGAGGATCGGGATTGTGCTGTTAAGGTATGTCCTTACATGCAGCATTACGTGACGAATTGCCTCTAGTTTTGTCACTGTACTGAGATAGTTACTACATCTCATTTTTAAAATTTTGAAATTTATTAATAAGTCGTATGTTTTAAAAAGTCTACATCGTTTGATTAGTAATAAAAGCTATCTAAGCAGAATGAGTCATCACCTGCAAATTCTTAGAGTTTACCTCTATTGCGCAAGCGTGGCATCCGTTTTCAGACTGAAGGTTTGTTACCTAAGATCTGTAGCAAAAGCCTCACATCTAATCAAACTAGTAGTAATTCTTTAAAAGTGTAGGGTTTAGAGGTGAACCATAGCCGTAGTAACAATCATTATAAATCATACTCCTTGCAATGATACTGGTCTTGTAACCCCTGAATAGCTGCTTAAAAATGGCTACTTGGCTTATTATAATTTAGACCTCAAGGTTATGACCTCTTTGGCGGGAGTTTTTTCTGTGTTAGGTCTCCTTTTGTCTATACTAGAATGTTTGTACCACATTCTAAACTAATTCTGCCGCCTAAAAAGCAGTGCCTGCGCTCCTGTCTTACGGGCAGAAGCTCCTGTGGCCCATGAACCTTTAACTAACTTTTTTTATAGTATAAGGTTGACAAATGAGCGCACAGTAGTCCACCTGATGGTACTCGTAAGTAGTTGCTGTGGCCCATAGACATTTACATCTATCCTTGACTACGAATCAAAATGAAAATGCGTTTTTAGCCGTGAGGACTAAGATGGAATGTCTCGTTTCCAGTAAAACGGGTCTCCAGTTCTCTACGCTCACCATACGAAACACAGCAGCGTTAAGCTGCTATTTTACGCAGGTATTCTGTGAGAGTGTGTTCCTTCCCCGGTCGAGCCGACCCATTCATGCTACAATTATAATACTAAATAATATAGCTGCAGCATGGCTCTACCACCTATACAATATATATATATGATAACCTATTAATTGAGATAACCACATTATGTTAATTCTTTGGAGACCGGTTAGTTTGACCATACAACGTAATGTAAAAGTTGAAACAAATAACGCTACAAATAGATGTCTGTGGATTAAGGGAGGACGCCTTACATTTTGATGTCCTGTCGGCGAAACTAAGAAACAGATTCAGCGTGGAGTTCTTTATTAGCGTTAGCTGACGATTGTGGAAAGTTTACTTGGCTATCTCGGCTAGTCCGAAATTTAAATCTCTATAATCGTATACTGCTATTGAAAACATTTTATTATCGTCGTAGTTTCGAATAGTTCGTTTGTTAAATGAGTTTATTTAGCTACTTGCAGTCTGGCGAAAGCCGTGAAGGTGGTCGCTTTTTACAACGCCGCACAAGACGAAATGGCGTCGATGCCGTTGATATGAATGACCGTTTTTGTGTAGGCGATGCAAGAGCTTGACGGCAAGGATATGGGTGGCGCGCGGTTAGAAGTGTCGCTTGCAAAACCTCCCTCCGACAAAAAGAAGAAAGAGGAGATACTGCGTGCGCGGGAGCGCCGCATGACGCAGATGATCTATGGCCGCGGAGGGTGAGTCCTAACTGCCGGTTAAGAACTGATTAATACATTCAAACATTTTTACTGTTACTTTTGTTAAATAATACCAGACTAGTAACATTTTGCATCAAATGATAGACAAGAAGTAATTAGGTAGTAATTTTTTTTTAGTTTTTTTTTACGATATAAAATTAAGTTATTGTATGTGTAAGTGTAATGGGTGAACCCAATTATTTATGCATCAGTTTATGAAAACTTCTAACAAAATTTGCTAGTTAACGAACCTTGATCAAATTCTGAGTAGATATTTATATTGTTCTAATACTTTTTTATTTTTTGTAACACAGTGAATGACGCTTAATCTGTAACGGGCGTAAAGTGATGAGCTAATAATTAAAATTGATTGGGATGTTGTGTCAGAAATATAGAGACCAACGCAATACTTTCAAATTTGAATAATACCTACTTTATTTTTCCACAATTATTGTAAACGCCGGGATCTCAATCCAGGATCAAAGACAAATGATTTATGTTATTCAAATGTAGTATGTATATTAGAATCTACTGCTGTACAATATGGGAGTTATTGGTCTGATTGCCAATTGTAGTGTGTTATACCTACCGTATGTGGTTATTTCTTTGATACTTATTTAGATATACTTTCTTACTTTGATTAAATAGTATTTTATGTTATTTTATTTATTAGTTGTTTTTACATCTTTACGTTGTTTTATTCGTTTTATTATTTATCGTCTGACAGTTTGTATTTTTTTTGCTTTACAAATATTTTTTATACATACTGTTTTGAAGTTCCAGTTATAATGCTTACTATTTATATTTTAAGTGAATCAAGCAGTTTAGAATGATAACGATCCATGGAATAATACGTGTTACACAGTTGACAAACTGTCGGTCGGTAAAATTATAACATGGGCGTAGCTAAAAGTGGTTACATTTCCGCAGTTAAACAATATGGTGTTAAAATTAGTTTATATAGTAGTTTAAGTAGTTTATTTAAGTAGGGTGGATTATTTTTTATTGAATTTAATCTTGTCGAATCCTGTAAATATTCTAGACTTTTCGTATTTAAACATATTTTTGGCAATAGATATAAAAATGTAACATTTTTATACATATTTATATATTAGTTATATTCAAGAATATTCTTGAATAATCCCTAAAGCCCTAAGAATGTATATAAATTAATCGAAAATCTATAAATCGGTCTTTTTGTTCTAAAGACTAAAATTTCATTATTTTCGCTTTTGGTATATATTTACAATTAGACATGAATCTATGCTCTTAATCTCTAAAAAGTTTAAGTGAAATTCGATAGATTTTTTTAATTATATGCAGGCTATAGGGCACGCTAGTTTGGGTGCCAATTAGACAAGTAGAAAAAAAAACATTAAATTATCTACGTGAATGTATTTTTATTTCATGGATAGTGGTTATTATAGGTAGCTGTAATATACGCAATAAATATATATATATATATATATATATATATATATATATATATATATATATGCATATATATATATATATATTATATAAAACAAAAGTGTATGTTATTCTTCGTAGATATTATATGGTTGTAAAAGAAGCGAAAGAGGTATGTCGCGATCGAACCAAATGGAAGTTTGCAGTTTCTGCCTACTTCTCTGGGTGACAGACGTTAAAGCTTATACTATATTAGTAATATTGTAAAAAAATTGCTTGCGTTTTAAAATACCCAGCTCAAAATATTTTTGTTGAGACCCCCTGGGCTCGAGCGCTATTTGTCTTTGACAAAGACTGAATAGTGCAGAACGATACGAATATGTTATCGTAATTTTTTTTAGATTGAAAGCTGCATTATATCACAGAAGTGATAAATAGTAATTTTCAACGCTATTTGCTATGAAACGTTTCTCGTTTTCACTTTTTTTATTTATTCATTAAAACTTCGTTGCACGAAAATGTACAAAGGCACTTTCCCAATGTTTTTCTGAGTGACTAAAATGTTTCGACACAACAATCTATCTGAAAGGACGGTAGAGGAAGAGTTAGCTAAAAAGCAAGCGGTGTGTAGGTAATAGCTACGCCCATGCAGGCACCGTGGGGACGTTTGTCTGTCGACGTGTTGGGTAACTGGTCGCTGTGTAACATTCAGATTTGATTGGTGCAGCTGCTCGCCGGTGCACGGCGCGCTGCGCGGCCGCACGCCGCAGCCGCAGCCGCGCCCGCCCGCCGCGCGCGGCGACTACGGTCAGTACCACGCGCACGCACACGCACACGCACACGCACGCACACGCGCAACGCATACGTCAAGTCGAAGGACAGAGGAACCAGCGCCAGTGTCAACTGACATTTAAATTTTATATATTTCATACAACATATTCTATCGACCTAGTCAATATTGATGATGATTTAATAAAAACACACCTAAAACGTTAATTCTGGTTCTATTTATGTCGAAATATTACGTGTCACGCGAACACACGCATATACACACACGCAACGCATACGTTGAGTCGGAGGAGAGAGAACCATCGCGGCGGAAATGTGAACTTACATTTAGGTTTTATATTTCTTACCTATCCTGTCGACCTAGTCGACCTTGATGATGACTTACTTTGATACACGACCAAAACGCTAACTATGGTTCTCTTTTTGTGCAAGCATCACGTGCACGTATACAAACACATGCAAGTGGATGTGTCGACTCTGAGTTTTATGAAAGTTGTGATCTTTGCATTTTATTTTTTAGCGTGCGCAACATCAATACGCACGTGTACGCACATGTACACTCACACACGTGCACGTAAACGTATACACACGTGGACGTATTAACTCTGGATAGATTTTACAGAAAAATATTGTGGTATTTTTGACTTATTCTTCTTTGTGATTAATATGTACTCATTATACACACACGCACACGTGTGTATTTGGTGTACATGGACCAGTTCACAATAAATCGATTTGACAACGTCTGTTAGAAGTGACGTCATCTAGTTATCCTTAACATGCCAACTATAAGTTTGAGCATTTCTTGTGGTAGTGTTGCGATTTGCAAAACACGTTCAGGAATAAGCTTACGTATACGTAGACATGATTATACATATTTCGATTCTGTTATGGTTCGATTATGGTATAGTGTCGATTGTAAATAAATTAATATTATATATATATACAGGTTATAGACTACCGCTGGACATAGATTGGTATTCATTCTGTCACTCGGTAAAGTAGGTACTAAATCAGAAAATGAATTTAAATGAAAAACGATTAATCGAGCAATCAAATTGATATATTTTAATAGAAAGAAAACTGCTGCGAATTCAATTACAAGCATATTTAAATACTCTTTAAATAGTTGCTGGCGCAGCCTTTAATAGAGATAAATCAACCGTAGTAGGTGCAGCATGGAGCAGTTTGATGAAATAAAAATAGATAGGACCTTTAAGAAAAGAGCTTACTCCTTTCTAAAAGGCCAGCGATGCACCTGCGATTACCCTGGTGTTACAGTTGTTCATGGGCGGCGGTCGACACTTACCATTAATAGTTAATAATAGTTTAAAATAAAACGTTACCCCAACACTAGGATTTTCTCCTGTATCGTGGAGGCAGTTTACAAACACAAATTTCACAAGGACAAACATCCAGACCCGGAACAATCATTTGTAGGCCATACAAATACTTGTTCCGTGCGGGATGAGATTAGGTGAGACGCATGCTCGTTTGCACCCTCTTCAATAAAAAAATAATAATGCATATTATAATCATTATAGAAGTAAATTGTAATCTGACGTTGTCCTATAGCAGAAAATAAAAACTAGCTCGGTTTATAACTAGTTAATTTTGAACAAACGACTTCAATATAAATACAATGAGAACATCATCAATATAGTCGAAGTCAATTAAATACTCATTGTTAAGGATAACTCAAAACTACTGGTCAGATCCTGATCAAATTTATATGGGACTACATGAGAAACACCAGCTTTCAAATAAAGATTCATCAAAATCTGTTCACCTAGAAAAAAGTTCTGAGTTAACACATAAAAAAATACAGTCGATTTGAGAACCTACTCTAATTTTTGAAGTTGGTTGAAAATAATAAATAAGTCTATCCAGAGTCCAATCATTCAATAACAAGCAATATTTGGATGGGAGCACGTGTGGCGCAGCCTACAAAGATATATCGCCTTATGTACATCAGAAAGCTTCGCCTCACTTGTCAATAAGATACTATTATCTTATATGTATCACACACACAGACACACACACACGCACATTAGAAAATAAAAATGTTTAGTACTCGGTGTGGTCTCCACGCGCACATCCGCAACTTTTGCTAATAATTCCTTACTAACAAAACGGCTGCTACTATACAATATACAGGTCTACGAAAACATGTTTTATCATTTAATTTTTCTGTGTTTGTATCTGTGGCCCAGTTTAAGTGTATCGTTGCAGCCATAATACATGTACCACTAACGCTATTTTCTAGGCTAGAAAATAATACAAAGCTAGGCTTAGGACACTGCATGGTTTCAGACTAAAGACTGTAGAAACAGGCAAGGCGAGTTCCGAGATGTGAGCTGATATAACGTCAAGGGCTACAAAATGTTTTAATGTAATAACAAACCTAACTGAATACCCAGTGCATGCTTCGTGAATTTTAATCATTTTCATCACAGCGTTGGAAGTCTGTTGCTGACCAGTGCGAGTGTAACACGTTGCTTACGAGTAGGTTTCGGTGGTGGGAGGATCATTCATACATTTGGAACTGCAACACATACATTTGGCAAAGGAATCTAAATTCAAAATTTAAAACCCAAATATCGAAGATTTAGTCCACTATATATTAAAGGGGTTATAAAGTTGCATGTGGTTTTGCGTGTGTCTGATAATTTGACTACGCTTCAGACCGTGCAGGCGAGTGACTAAGTTAAGGAAGCAGGTGGAGTCCCCGTGTGCACTATAATCCAAACGGAAGACATACGCATGTATTTATTTTGTACGCGGTACGAGCGTCGAAGGTTCCATGTACCGCCAGCATAAGGGTAGCTTGTAAGTTAGCGTTAGTTTAGCTTAGCCTCTAAAAGGCCTGTGTTGTGTGTTTATAGATTATGATTACGACTATTACGGGTACGGGGATTACCGAGGTGGCTACAATGAGCCATTTTACCGGTACGATGAGTTCTATTTTGATTACGCGGGGCCACCGCAACCGTCCGCCGTCCGCCAGCCTCCCAACAGAGCGCAACCGGTGGGTCCCACACACACTAACTAATGTTATCATATTATTTTACTAGTCACTAGACGCTGTACTCATCATTGTTACCTTTCGAATTTTGAGTTGCAAAATTTTTTTCATCTGTTTTCACAGTTTATTTTTTCTTTATATATATTATTTTTTTTGGTTGAAACCCATCCTAGAATGGAGTCAGTGACTCGGTAAAGAACGGTAGTGTGTAGGCCTGACGGTGGTGATCGATAGCGGCGGCGGGGGCGCGTTTCGCACTCGCGAAACTTTGGGAAGCGTTCGCTATGTTCGAAACGAATGCTACGTTTGTAGCATTTGCTCTGTGCAAAGCGTTTGCTACTAATGAAACGATCGCTAAGTGCGAAGCAATCGCTATGAGCGAAGCGAAGTTTCGCTTCGCATGCTTCCCAAGTGCGCAGCGCGCTCGCTCTTAGCTCTGTCGAGTTTGCGAGTCGGTAGGGCGCGGGGTGGCCGGTCGGCGATCTCACCATCAGGTCTGCATGGCTGAGGCCACTCCGACTAACGTGCCAGCATCACCCATCTACTCTCACCATATTGCCATTTAACGTTTGCTTCGCATAGTCGTTCAACATCCCATCATGTAGCGCTTTGCTTTCGCTTTCACTAACCCGTTGTAACACGCTTGGAGCTTTGTCAATCATGCGCACTCATCGCGAGGAATGTAAAACTCGGAGCGATCGAATAAATTGTATTATTTGTCGTTGTTGTAACGAGGTAGAGAATATGTTAAGAAGATTTACTGATCCGCTTGGTAAATGCCTCACTCAGGAAGACGAGCTCGCTCTCGGGCCCAACTCGCTTTACTACGATCTAACCGGAGGCATTCAGGTACCGGACTTCAATATCTAATGGTATATGTACTCTCCAAAATTAACGTACTGTTCCGAATTAGTCCTCTACCAGTACACGTACATGTTGTCGTAGTTTATTTACAATTTCTATTTCGCAGTAGTTTGGCAGTACAGTAGCTGTAGTATCTAGAGGTACCTGATTGTTTCAACATAATATAACCTATATGATTATTGACGAAGTATTGGTGAATGTTTTTGTGTATAATTTTATTGTAACAAAATGTTATTGTAAAGCGTTGTTGTGTATTTTACAGCATGATATTTTAAGTTATTGTTTTTTGTTAATAATTACAATCGCATATTCTTATTTGTGTAGTTTTTGGGTAATTTAAGAATGTGCTTTTGTAAATAATTAGTGTATTTTTTAGAATCTAAAGTATTGATCTTACGACAGACGTCCATTATGTTTGCTGCAGAGTGTACATTACTATCCTCTATGCGATGATTATGAATTCATTCAGTTCAGGAAGTGATGTTCAATTTGCAAAAAATATTTTTTTAAAGATTGAATAAACATAGCTCTTCACTTTGCGATAGAGAATGCTCGTTTTAAATATTTATTTTATATTATTCCCATCGCATTGTGCAGATGTTTTTTTTTTGTTTTGATTGAATAATCAGCACGATTATTTCTTAGCCATTGCTTATTAAAGAAGAACTTGCTATTTTGATATAACTTAATATATTATAACGAGTCATATGTTAATTTCGAAACAATGTTTTTTTTAATTTCATATTTACTTTATTTTATATTTTAATTTTTGAAGTATCGCAAATAACTTAAATTATTACTTGCAGTTGTCACTTGAGGCGTAGTTGGCTTTTAAAATAAATATTTTATGTTAGTGACTAGCAAGTGGTAATTATTTTATGTGAATTTGTAATGCCGCGCGCCATCTTTACACCACTACCATACCTGCCGATCTCTTCGTTCCTGTGCCCTTAAATTTTCTTTAGGTGGTTTATTTTTAGGAAATAAACATCGAATTATTTTCTGTTCAAGAGGGTTTTTCGTTTGTAAGACTATATAAAAAGGTCTACAGAGTATAGAAATTACTTAATATGCACTTGTGTCTACTGAAAAAGCCAATAGCTTAATTTTACTTTTTCGATTATGAATACAGTACGGCGGAGCGTTAGTAAAATCGTTTAGCACTTTTTGAAATTAATAATAATAAATTATAATTTTGGTTAATTAGAGAACTATTTTTAAAATAATGCAAGTGAATACTTCATTATTCCTTAAGAGTAGTGTTTCGAGGTCTATAATGATTAATGATATCTTTACCTTCATATAATCGTGCTACTCGATGTTAAGACGTGTCGTCGATATCTAGAGAATTTTAATAAATTTTTCAAAAATCACCTTAGTCTGTCCTCTATGTGGAAGTGTTCATTTTGTGCATAGGGGTTCGTATGGTTGATTTCACTCTCTTACGTATCTGTCAAACAGCAGTGCACCCACTGCTCTGCTCTGTTCTGTTCTAAAGGGTAAGTTAGCTAGTACAAGAACAGGATATGAGGCGTTTGATATTAGTGTTCATGGGTGACAACTCATCTCATGGCCTTAATAAATAAAAAGAGATTATGTTAGTCATTTAACTATTGCAATGTGTGAACCTACTGGTGGGACGATATGGCGTATTCCCAGTAGTGTTACCAAATTAATTATTATTTAACTAATAAGACTACTGGGAATTTACATCCCAATAGACTTACTAATTAAGACCACTAGGAATTGTCTTCCCTAGTAAACTTACTGGTAAGTAAACTACGGAAGAAAGTTCTCAGTATTATTTTTAGTAGTTTCTTGGTCATAATTTTCTACTATAAAAATGCATTTTATATAAACGTATTTTATATTTATATGACAATTTATATTGTTTGCCATTTTGATGAAAAATATTTCGTCCAACTCCAGTAGTCGTAAATATGTTTATTTAATCTATTACACAAAAAAAATTCAGGTCACGATGTCCTTCTTTACTACCTAGTTTGTTGTAATTAAAATATGCCTTGCGCGTATTTGATACGTATTTTCTAATTTGGTGTTGAGAAACAACTTTGTGTTGTTAACAGTAACAAAGCACACATGCATATTTCAAAGTAATATAGTCAGAAATAAATTAAATGGAAAAAATTGTGGTTTAGGTCTTTTTATTCACTGAAGGTAAATGAGAAAAAATAAGGGCATATAGGAAACCACACAGTCATAAAATCGACTGAGCGTTTGTCTTAAAATTGACCACTTAGCACTTTTTGGGTTATATTCGTGTTGTCTTCTTCATACGACAATAAGGTTGCTCGTTCATATTCACGAATAGCACAAGGGAGCTCTATCCGCAAACATTGCGGAACTTTAAGGTCCGTATCCGGTATTGACTGACGAATAACTGATTAACGTTGACACGACTACTTTTTTTTACGTAAGAGCACTTACTTGTAAGTAGGAGTGTTTTACTGTTGCATTTCGGCTTTGAAGCGTATAATTGAAGCATGCAATTTTGGTCTTCGGGGGTGACAACGCACCCGTAGCACCTTTGGTGTTGGCTGAAGGTGTCTATAGGTTGCTCTTGTAACACCAACATCAGGTCGACTGCAATTAAATTTGTCATGTCTGCGGAAAATTTTGTTTTCTCTTTTAAAATTGTACTTAAGTGCGATTAAATTAATTACGTCAGGAGCGACTGAATTTATGTACCTCTGTATATCGTCACACACCATACGCAACCTCAGAATTATCCTGTTATTTTAAGCTGGTATTCAGTTCCGTGACTCGGCCGACGAAGGACCACGCCCTCTTTGAATGCCATTGTAAAAAAGCCATGTAATGATGCTGTGTTTCGTATTTAAAGTTTAGAGAAGTAAATCGGCGACCCTTTTTAAGCAATAAATAAAAAAATCGTTACGTTGTCCGCGCTAATTTTGTACAATACCGGAATGTTAAAAAAAGACTGACTGAACTGAACTGACTGGTTGATTGACTGTTGACGGGAGTTACGACGTGAATATTTTACGTTTATATTTAAACGAAGGTCATACCTATACAACTACAATCTACAAAAATACTACATGACCACAAAAAAAAAAATCAAATATTTGTATCAAATTTACATTTTGATGATCAATAGTTTTGCTGCTTATTATATTATATTTTAATGTTTAGTTAGTATTTTCAAAAATACTGACTTGACGGAGCTGTGACGGGGTTGATGTGTACATACAGATACGAAATTGTTACAAAGGTAGGGCTCAATTACTGTCTTTGAAGTCCGCCTGTTAGCCGTCTTATTTCTGCTATCATATGAGTCACTGCTTTGTACGGTTTGAACGATAATATAAAGTTAGGCACTCCATCTTAGTTTTTAGTTCTGAGCGGTGACAACGCTTGTTTAGTTTTCTTGGTTAGTATTTGGTCACATTTACCTAATAGCTGCATTTGGCAGCTAACCTCATTCGTTACTTTAACTGACGACTGACTGAGGATTGTCGACGGAGCTGCGGCGTTTGATGGGGTCGGACCTTAAAAGGAGAATCGCTACATGGCACGGATATGCCTATTTGGTCAATACGTATATGTACGTCGAGAGATGCCTTAACGCTCGTTCGATGTACGTCGAGATGCAAACACCTCTATGTTTACTATTAGATGAGCACTACAGTACTAATACATTGCGCACTAAGTTGCGGTAAATGGTCCGTAACTTTTTTAGTCCATTGCGAACGGGCGAGAAGTCTTCGTCTAGATGTGCCTTAACGCTTGTCAGATGTACGTTGAGTGGTACCTTAACGTTTCTTCGATGTACGTCAAACGGTGCCTTAAAGCTCGTTCGATATACGTCGAGTGGTGCTTGAACGCTCGTTAGATGTACTTCGAGTGGTACCTTAAGGCGAGTTAAGTCTATTGGTAGTTAAACGTTCGGTCGATTGTGGCGCTGTGGCGGGACGGTTCGAGGCGGTGGGCAGGTGTGGTAGTGGTGCGGTGGGGGTGCGTGCGCTGACGCTGTGCGCGGGTGCAGGGTGGGTCATGTGGGACGGGCGCGCGATGGGCGCGGCGCGCGGCGCCGGCCGCGGCTGGGGCCCGTACTGGTGCGCGCCGCGCCGCTCGTGGCCGCCGCACGCCCAGCGCCATCCGTGGCAACCCGCGCGCCAAGCCAAGTTTACCAGGTAAGTGCTGAGTGGGTTCGATTGTTCGTGTCGGAACAACGCTTGCGCCGTGTGTAATAAAATTTGATCACATCGGAGATTTGCCGCCGTCAAATAGCAGCTTAATGCTCCTATTTGACGCTGGTAATTCTCTCACAAAATACCATCGTAAAATGACAAATTAATGCTGCTGTTTCTCGCTGGTATTGTGTGAGAGCGTGGTCCTTACCCGGGCGAGCTGACCTATTAGTGCTACAAGCATAATATAGTTAAAAGGAGAAACGGCGACACTCTTTACTAGTAACATGGCATTCTTTCATAGTCCTCAGAGATGACAACGCATCTGCATATTAATTTTTTATACGAAGATAGATGTAGATGTCTATGGGCTGTAGCATCCACTAACCATCAGGTGAGTATGTGCTTGTCACCCTTATTCTATAAAAAAATCCAATGCAAGCCATTTCGTTTCGTGGGGGCCGTAATAGGCAACTATGATATACAACTTATAACTGTAGCACGAATGGGTCAGCTCGACCGGGGAAGGACTACGCTCTCACATAATACTAGTGTAAAATAGCAGCTTCATTCTGCTGTTTCGTGTGGTGAGTGTAAAGAACTGAAGACCCTTTTTACTAGGAACGAGGCATTTTATTTAGTCTTCAGGAATGACAACGCATCTGCATTTTGATTCTTATCGAAAATAGATGTAGGAATCTATTGATCACAGTTGACATCAGGTGGACACACTGCTCAATGCACAGCTCATTTGTCAACCTCAATTCTATAAAAAAATATGGCCTTCTGATACCCAGACTAGCGACGGACAATAGTACCAAAGGTACGAGACGTCTGGTATTGCAGTTGTCAATGCGCCTGATAAGCGTGACGATTGAGGCAAATTCCCCCTACACCGGGAAAGACCCGCGTTCATTATACAACATATAACAAAAACCCTGTGGTTCCCGTTAAGTACGTTATCAGGATCAGTATTTTATTAAATTTTATTAAAAAAAAAAATATATGCAAATTGTATGTAGTTTTATTACGGGGTAAGAGGATTGTCAAAGACCCTGCTTTACCTAGCTTTAGCATCGGCTAGTGTCGGTAAGAGGTAATAAAACCACATAAAATTTAAAAAAAATTATAAAAAAAATATATGGTCGAGTTTTTAAACAAAAGTTATTTCTATAGGTTTGAATACTGATCGTGATAACGTATTTAACGGGAATCACAGGGTTTTTGTTACATGAGGAGCCCTTAATGCGTGAGGGCGAACTTTATATTGTGTTCTTGAAATGTTTTTAATATCAGATTTTCTCTCATAATGTTGGAAACATTACTAGGAAATCACTTATTGCGTTAGTCAACATTTAGGATTGTTAGGAACAAAAAAACATTTATTGCTGGAACTATGTTAGTTTAATATAAAGTTAACTTTATACTATTTTTTATAAAATGCATTGTTGGTCTATGACTGATTAAATATTCCATTAGCTCAAAAGAGTAAAAAAAAAAATGTGTAAATGTGCATTTAATTTTTAGATGCAAATCATAATATTGCTCTAATGGGACTTATTAGTATCGTTTTATTTATTAGCTGTATTGGTCTCAGAAACTTTAATTAATATTTTCGAGTACTCTGAAAAATTCCTGAGAACTCACTGTAGGTCAAAGACAACGTGTTCTCATGCTTTTCCTTTTATTTCAGCTTGTTTGATGGTTTGCGTCTAGTCTGGATTAATTTTTGTGCATCGGTAACTACCCTTTCCTTTTATTCCTTCCTTACCAGGTTATTTCATAAACTTTATCAAGTCTTAAAACTTTTTTAAACGAATGAGCGAGTTCGTGATTTTGCTTGCTTAATTTACTAAATAAAGTTTGTGAAAGTATTTTCCTTGATAATGAGTGATAAATCAAACCTTCAATTTATAAAAAAAAAACATCCTTGTAGCTGTAGGTTGATTTTTTATTATACTCGTAGCACAAGTAATAATCAGCCTAAAGCAATTTTCCTAGTTCCTCTTTCCTTATTTTGATTTAATTTAATTTTGTTACAGTAGAAAAATTTATATTTCTGAAATACTGAATTATTCAGGCTATGATTGCTTATTTACAGTATAATAAAGTGGGTAGTTTTAACCAGTAAAATAGATTTAGTATAGATTTTAGCTGGCCTGGTCTAGAAAGAGATGCAGGAGATCGATGAATGCAGGTGGCTCAGGACCGTCCTTTGAGTGTATGGCTTTCCTTGGATCTATGTTTAGCAGTGCCCTTGTAATGGTCTGTAATCATGATGATGATGATGATGGTCTAAGCATTTCGTTTAAATTCTTCGGTGAATAGTAAATGCGGTTAGTCTGTTAAACGTTAGCTGTTCGGCGGTTTTAGCCAAGATGACTTTCTATGATTGTTAACGCTATGAAAACTGTAAAAACGAATGAACCCAGCGCTAAGTCACATGACTGTCACGTGGACACGTTAACGTTCAGACATTGTCATTACCATTCATTTTTTTAATTTTATATAGCGTTAACAATAGTATCTAGTTATTTTAGCTAATGCCTCAAGTGCAGTTTGTGATGAAAGTTATGCGAGCGTGTGGACGTTCGCAGGTAAACGTAAATTCGACGGGGGTCACCAGAACCATGGGGGGGAGACGAAGCGACGCTTGGGCGCGGCGGCGGCGGCGGCGTGCGGCTGGGGCGGCGCGCTGCAGGGCGGCGGGCCGCTGCCGCAGCAGCCGCTGGCCAGCTAGCCGCCGCACGCGCCGCCGCACGCGCCGCCGCACGCCACGCCGCCCGCGCCGCCCGCCGCTCCCCGCCGCCCGCCGCGCGGGGCGCTCGCGCGAGCCCCTGTCTGGAGACACTACAAGCTGCGCAGGGGACCCACTCGCCGTCACAGCCTCGCTCGCGGTTCACGGTTACGTTTACGCCCGATCCCTCAACCCTGTAATCGAGGATCGTTCCACTTTTATTTTTTCTATATATGTGTTTTTTTATTTGATTTTCACGTTTTCAATTTTGTAATCGCATCGATTCCGTAAAAATCTTAAAGTAGGCCGTTATGAAATGTTTCGAATGTAAGTTTCCCGTTATGCTTATGTTTTTCACTGTCGTATTAGCCGTATATATTTAATATATACTTATTTTTTTGTGAGGGCGCGCGGCCGCGGTTGCCTGTTTGCGGCCGCGCGCCGGGTCTCGGACCCGTCGACTGTCTGTTTTTTTTAATACATGTTATTCAATATATTTTATTCCTGCGAACGCATTTTGCGATGTGATGTGTATTTTAGCAGTAATTATTATATTATAAGGAGTTTGACTGTTGTTTTTTTGACATACTTACAACTTAGGTTACATGAGAATGATTTTATGAAATGAAATGAACTCTACGACTAGCAATTACGGCTAAAATAAAACAACCTGTAATCGATAACATTTCCCGACTGTGTTCCTGCTTTAGTTTTTTGCTTTATTTTATTACATATTTCCATTTAAAATACATTAGTGTGAAAAGTAGTATTGTAAAGTTCAGGATTTCTGTAACATTTATTATCGCTGTACTAAACATTTTTTTTGTATTCGGACCACATAGCATGCCCATACTGTTAGAACTCTGACTTGTATCAATCTTGTATCAGTTTAATATGTGGAATAAATTTGCAAAACTGTGTTTGCCTTATTACAACAGATGGTTTTCTTCCCTGACTCCCTCCTGTAATAATTGTAAACTAAAACGAGAGTACTTAGCCTCTCTGATTATTCTTACTAGACGTTCCTCAGGAACTATACCTAATATTTATATTGGGTAATCTATAATCTGCATTTTATTTTTTGGTCTCATTGTCGTTATAAAAAACCTAAGGTTTATAACTCAAATTCAAAATTTAAAAACTCCCGAAAAAAAAGCAGCTGATGACATTGAAACGGCTGAACCGATTTTGATAAAACATGTCTAAAGGTGCCCATTGACGATACGTCTGTTTGGAATGCTTCTAAATGGAATACTTCGTAATGGAAGTATTGACTATACTTCCATTTGGACTTACGCGCCGTCACTTCGAACGTTGCACGCTGTTCAATTACACATACGGGATAAATAATACAATAGATTTTAATGGTGACAACAGCAGTGCGTATTTCGATAAAGTTTCACTGTCAGTAAACATGGATGCGATTAATATTTTTCATTTACATCTAATACAAAGACAAGTGCAGACGTCGACATAACAATTCAATTCGGAGGATTTTGTTTAAACGTTTCATAATCTCAGCCATAGAGCTCCTATGATCCAGCACATGTATCGCTGTCAATACCAGAGCGCAAACCAAACAGACAAAAATCACAAAAAAATGGATGTGGTTTTGCCCATACACAGACAATTCGGACGGCTTTAAAATGGCGTGGCGTTGACGGACGGCCGCGAATGATGTCCATTTGGACTGGACGCATGAATTTCAATCAGTTTGGAAATCCAGAGCTGGACGACGTCCATTCAAATGGCTTAGGTACGTTTTTCACATTCACGAAACGATTTTGGAAGATGTCCACTCCATTTGGATTGATGGACGTATCGTCAATGGGGCACCTTAAGAACCACCGCTAGTAAACCTGCTTTCACAGCTGTCAAAATAACACTCCTCTGGGCCGGGGTTAAAAATTACATAAAACAGAGACAATTCAAACAATAGTCGCAATCAAAGGATTGCAGAGGGCATGTGCGCAAAAAATGTAAATTGGATATTCAAAGGATTTGAAGGGAGGCAAGACAAAAAAATTTTTAACTACATAATTTCTTCACTTTTGCTAATGGCTAACTATTAGGCGGGGTGATAACCTTAGCTTCCCTGATAAGGTTGCAGTACCAGTAATTCAGACCTAGGGCGAACATTCGTAACTCCATTAATAATTTAGCATGGAATTCTCTAAAAATTTCCGTTTGTGTATGGCTGGCGGTGGTACGCAACAAAAGGTACGCTAGGTCTGTATGTTCGGATTGGTTCGAGATGAAATCTTTCGTTTCTTTCAGTTTTTATTTCGAAAGTCGTGCTTGCTCTCCGAAACAAACTTCAGGAATTGTTCCCGTCAGGAAATATCAACGTGCGTAGAATATTTTGTATGCAATGCGTCCTGCTACGGAGCTCGAAGGACCATAACGATGTACGGAACACCTTTAAATGATATAAATAAAAATTATTTTATTTAAACTGATAATGATATTGATACAAAATTGATAATGATATAGAACGCGTCCACCGTGTTCGGAATGAGAACGCGACTACTTGAAAACTAAAATGATGTTGACCTAAATAATCGCTTATTAACAAAAATGTACGGTTGCACTGTACAAGAATATGTCAACTTTTTTCTTGTCTAGCATAACGTCTTATAAGGTGACTAAAACTTTTACCACAATTTTTCAACACATTTTTTAGGCTAAACGTGGTCCGAGTAGTTCGCTGCTCTTTGGACTCATCATTATAGCCGCGACGCTATGTATATATGAATGAATGTACACGGAAAACGTGATCGGAAATCTTACTTTGCAACTTAATGTTTTGTTCATGTTTCAAAGAGATGGTAACCAAGATTAGATGCGATGTTTCTCTTTTGGGAAAACCGCATTATTCAAGATATTTTTTTATAAATATTATTAATGTTATGCTAAAGATTCATAATAATTAATTAAGGTAATTCTTGTCTTGGGGGATTTCATATTGACGTTGAATATACCCGAGAATCGATGACAAAATTTATTTTGACTGATGTTTTAATCAAGACATATTCTTAGAAAAAGTGTTATCACGTAAACGTATTAAAATACTTTTAATGCTTTACGTAAATACGTAAAATACGTTTACTTTATTTCAAAAACTAGATGCAAAATATCGTTACACTGATACACCGTGTATACTTTTTCAGTTATTTCACTTTTTCTTTACTTTTTAAGATATTTCAGTTAACATTTTTCGTTTCGTTAACTTACTAAGGTCTTTGGTCCTGCACCGTATTCGGTCGGGATGTAGAGGATTTGTTTTCGGTGTACACCGACACATCTTCATTTCTTCCAATTTATATAGCATGGGCGTTGCTCTGTGTTATCCCCCAAGTTTCACTTCCGCACATGAGAACTGTCGTCTAATTATGACCTTATATACCATCCCTTTAAATTTAACGGGTATTTTAAGGCCACAGGTTAGGCCAGCTAGCTCTCATTACATCCAGGCAGCTGCAATGCGATGCTGAATGTTTGCGTTCACTCCCCATAAACGGAGCAACATGGCGCCAAGATATCTGTACCTACTCGTCGGTAACTTATTGGCCATGGATTGTGAGTGGGTTTTCGGATGTACCTATTTATTTAATTGCACAACATACATCGAGTCTTCGCAACATTTTACCAAGCCTCACACAACTCAATGCTAAAAAACGGCGGTACTAACCAGGTTGCCGCCTGCGTATGAAAATGCTTGCCTTATACGACATCGGTTTATTTAGAGATTTTGCTTCTGAGCTTTGTTGATATGAATATAGTTTCATATTTAGATCATAATTCTTATCTATATATTAAAACTTCAATATTATACTACTATCTTTAGCGCCTTTTAAAATCCGCTATGCAAAGAGGCATGTTCTTTTTTACGGCATGAACTAATAACGTTAAGCACATGCAGAGGGCGTCTCAAACTATCTGCAATGATGTCTAAGAAAATTGTAGTATTGACGACTAATTTATTATAATATAATATATTAAAATAACTTACAAAAGATGTTTACATTTTTTATTGATAAAAACAAAGATGTTTAAGTGTTAACAAATAAATATCTATTTGAGTTGGATTCGAATACCCGACTTTTAAAACATTACGAACGGAAAATTCAACACTACATTCGACTGGGAGCGTGGCGTCTCCTGTAATCCGGCTACTCGGAGGTCGGGATCGGAGGATGGTTTGAGGTCGGGAGTCCTGGTGCTGTGTGGTCCATGTTGACTGGACGTCCACACTAAGCCTGGTATTAATATGGACCCCCCGGAGGAGTCTGGGGGGTGCAGGTTAACTAAGGAGGGGCGAACCGGGCCAGGGGGGAAACCCAGCAGCCAAAAGTCCCCGTATCGGGCAGTAGTGGGATAGCGGCCGGGAGTGGACGCTCAGTAACAGCCCGACCAATACAATCAGACCCGTTCCTTTTTGTTATCTGAGAATTTGTTAGTATGCAATTTTTATATGGCTAACTTTGTGCAGAGCACGGGTGTTTATACAGAGTTATATACGAGCCTAATTGAACGTTATTTTTAGTTACATAAATATTGAAATAAGGATACTCGAATAGCAGCAAGTTTTATTAGTTTGCTATCCGTTAGTGAAAGTGAAATAAATGTGTATGCTTAGCATACAAAATGCGTAGAAGTTTTATTTAGCAACTAGTTTTTCGCACCGCGATGTTTATCCGCGTCTAGGCAGTCATGATTCACACGTATCATGAGACCGCATAATACGGAGAGCTCAAGCTATCGCATGAAAATTTTCTCATATTTCGCAATGATAATGATCGCGAATTTCAAGTCAGACAAGACTTTTCGAATAGTGAAAACCGCTCGAACAATCTGCCTCTTCGTACTCCCGTACATTAATCCTCCATCTGCAATGAATTATTTTCTGTCACAACTGTGCGCTTGTGTACATTTTTCTCTCTACGTATTCGCTGTGATGAGTCCTTTTTTCCCTTAAAATATCAACTCAAAGCTTATTACTT